CCTAGATGTCCAATTTGCATGACAGTCAGATAGAAGGCTAAAAAATATCAGCCAGTTATGAGCCAGCCAAAATGGAATGGACAACAGAAATCTCATCACCTCTCTTACAATGACAGTCTACCATATATGCACTGGAAGTTAATCTGCCATCTCTTTGTGTCGTTTCTTTGAAGGTCAGACCACATATCTGTGGTGAGAGCAGGCTATTAGCCGAAATAGGTGGACAGTAATTTACGTCAGCGTATGTTTATGTCCCCAATATTGATCGTGAGAAAAATAAAAACAAAGACTTTGCGCGTAGGCGGATACAGTTCGCAGATAGATGCTCTAACATTCAAGAAACAGTCACACTGAGATGAAAGATTAACTTTCAGTGAGAGGACAACCACTGATCAGAAGACTGTGTTTGTCTACTAACAATAATCTATAATTAATGTACATGAAAATCTATACATATCTGTTGATTTCGTAAATAAGGGATCTGTCGCCTGACCCTTGTCTTCTGTTGTTACACACTGAATAAAGAATTGGAATCCATCAAAAAAGCTCTAATCAAAAATAGATATCTCATCTTCATCATCGACAAACGTCTAAGGAGAAAGAGCAAAACTCCACGAAACCTGAATATATATGCCAAGAAAACAAACTTATTGTAAATCTGAAATTCAAAGGAGATACAATTATTGAAGTTTTCTGAAGCCGTCTGTTGAGAACATTTCGAAGAACATTCTTCGATGAATCTCTTCATACACACTTTCGTTTACTATAATGTTAAAGACGAGATCACGTTGTTGGCAACGTGGAACAGTCAACAGCTCAATTCTCGTCACATGCATCAGCGTTAGAAGAGACTTCTTTCAAAGTTATACATAAAGCGAGATCAAGTTGTCCAAAAAGGATTTCGCCTACATCTCTGCATGCAACCAAAGCTTTAAAACTTCATAAAAAGCAACAAAAAAATTGAACTTTGTGCTCAGAAACGTTTCATCCAGCCTCTTTTATTACTACTCTCGTAACCTTAGTGTCAATTTCGTTCTCTACGAAGTCGTTGCGTCAGTTTTTTCTTTGCTTTTTTTTGTAACGCATTCTTAAACTTTCCGATTAATTATTTCAAATTAATGATTACTCACCAATGCACCAACTAATTATCACCTATCTCTTGATTAAACAGAATTATTCTGAATTTTTCAAACATAGTTATTTCTAGTATTGGTTTTGTAGGGATTTTGTTTGATTGCATGGAGGATTTAATCATGAGCTGACATCAGTCGGATCGGGTCCCAGTGGCTCAATGGTCTACGAGCTCGCCTTGTAACCAGAAGGTCCTGGGTTCGAATCCCGGTGGGTGCGTACTGCTGAAGAGTCCCAAACTAGGCTGACGAAACAGCTGTCCAGTACTCCCAGGTTTTCCAGTGGTTCTCTAACTGATGTCAGCTCATGATTAAATCCTCCATGCAATAGTTATTTCTCACACAGTTTGATTTATTTTGCTAATAACCGACAATAATCTCTGATTTTTATTGTTAGTTAACACAGATTGATATCAGTTAGAGAACCCATTGAAAACTACCACCAATGAATAACTGGACAGGTGTTTCATCCAAAGTCTGAGACTCATCGGCAGTACACACCCACCACCACAGGGGGGGTTCGAACCCAGGACCTTCCGGTTACAAGGCAAGCTAGCTCGTGTACCATTTAGCCACAAGGGATCCGATCCAATCCAATGGCCAGCTCATGAGTTCCAACATCTACCGATCCATGATATGGCGAGACTACTAAACAATATAATCGGTGGGAACTCAGTCTTCACCCCCGATTGGATGGACTGGGTACAACTTCTCACTAAAAATTCAGATAACTTTTTCCTTCAGCCAGTCAGTCACTAGTGAGCATTATATTAATTTTTAACAGTGGTTACTGTGGTCTATTCAGTCGAGAGTGAGGATAGATTTCCCGCCGATGACATTGGTTGGGTGCCAGTCGCGCAAAAACCACGAATTGGTAGAAGTTAAAATTCATGGGTTGGCCATTGAATTCGGTCCCAGAGGGTGAATGGTATACTAACATGCATTGTAACCGGAAGGTCCTGCTTTTCAATGGTTATCTAACTGATATCAATCCGTGGTCAAACTCGATGAGCAAATCAAACCTTTACAAAACAAATATTGAAATATACATATATATATATATATATATATATATATCAACTGCACAGCTTTGAAGTGAAGTCACGAAAAGAGATCTCTTCAATATGATGGAGAAGATTCGTAGCTCACATGGATGATTTTGATGTGGTTGTGTTCTCTGAGCTAGCTGGATGATGGTTTATTTGCGAAGCTTTCATCGACTTCTACTGGGCAACATCTTCAGCGCCTACTTCAGTTTGAACTGAAGTGAGCTTTTAGATTTCTCCACGAGTTTATTAATCATCTCTCCTAGTGACCTCGGACGTGATTGGTTGTGGGTTTTCACACCCTCTACGTTAATTGTATTGGAACTGATTGTTTCCTTGACTTGAGCTTTGACCGTTTATCTGTGAGGTTTCTTTCTTATCGGTTGATAAATTTTGTCTATCTCGATGTGTCTACTGTTTAATGATTCACTGGAATACCAGTTTCCTAAAAGGCTTCTCTTGTAACAACAGAAGACAAGGTCCAGGCAACAGATCGTTTTATTACGAAAATCAACGCGTATTTATATATATTTTATGTACATTAATAAGGCTTATGCAAGCAGAAAAAGGCAGTCTTCTAATTGGTTGTTTCCCGGACGTTAAGCAGACAAACACAGTCTCCTGATTGGATGTTTTCGATATTTCTCGGAAAGTAGAGCCATTTATCTGCGAATCATATTTGCCCACGTTTAAGTCTGCTGTGATTGGTTGTTGAATCAGCCTAGATTAATGTCTACCAATCAGCGTCGATTAATGTCTACCAATTGGCTAGCAGCCTGCTCTCACCACACTCTGGCTAGCATTCTCGGTGTTTCCTCTGTCTAACATTTGAATGTTGGTTGTCCCAGTCGAATTAATATCCGTGGAGTTGTCTGTATGTAGTGGTTTGAGGGAGTGAATGTCATGCCTTTTGACGGCTAGCTTATGTTCGTGGATACGAAGACGAAGAGCGGGGATGTCCACTTTGGCCAATGTAGTGTTTTTCGCAGTTGTTACAATTTATGATAGCTAATCTCTTTGGAGGAAAAGTATATGCAAGTGTGACTGTACAGACAAAGAAAATCAAATCGCAAATAGGGGCTTCTTCATTGAACAACTTGTTTTTGTGGTTGTTTTTCATGAATGCATATTATTATTATTATTATTATTCCTTTGAGTTCTGAGTAATACACAAGGCTTACACATCACATCTCCACTTTATTCCGTTCTCTGTGACTCTTCTCATCTAGCGCCGCGATCGTCCTCCTACACACACTGTCTCCTCCATGTGACCATCAGATCAATACTCAACTCATTGTTTCCTAATCAAGTTTAACTTGATGATCTGTCTGCTGAGATCCGTCAGCCACCGGTCTGATCCATTTCCATTTGCTTCAGATATTTGTTAATCAGCCTAAATCTTTCTAGCCATTTGACCTCTTCAATATAGAGCGAATGCATGAATCAGAGATATTCCCTCCGGTGGGTGCATACCGCTGAGGAGTCTTGAAATAGGACGGATGAAACAGCCGTCTAGCAGTACTCTCTGGCAGGTTTTCCAAGTGGTTCTCTCTATCGGATATCAGCTCATGATAAAATCATCCAATCCAATCAATCAGGCAAAATCTCTACAAAAGTAATACTTGAATATATAAATGAATTACAACAGAACTGACAGTATTAGTGTATCATCAGTCATGATTTTATGGTGCCTCTGACTATTATACATCTCAACTAACAGTTGTACGACAATGCTGCATGCCACGTAATCAACAACGGGAAACTTACGGAATCCTTCGAAGTGAAGACGGGAGTAAGACAAGGCTGCCTAATATCGCCAATGATTTTTCCTGATTGCGGTAGAATGGATAATGCGACAGACAGCGGACCGGACAGCGAGGAAACAGGCATACATTGGACACACACAAAACTTAGAAAATCTGAACTTCGCTGATGATATATGTATGATTTCCCACAAACTGGAAATATGCAAGTGAAAAGCAATAAGTTGGCAGAAGAAGCATCAAAGATGGGACTGCAAGTAAACATAGAGAAAACATAGGTGATGAAGATTCTTGGCCAACACCAACAGTAACAACAATCAGTCAGCATAAATGGTAGAAATCTGAAAGAAGCAACCTCCTTCACCTACCTACCTGAGAAGCATCGTTTAAACTACAGGCGTAACTGAAGAGGATATCAAAGCGTAGAGGATCGGGAAAGCAAGACAAGCTTCATTACCCTGAAGTCTGTGTGGAGGTCAATAGCACTACTTATCATGAAAATGAAAATAAGATCCGGATTTTTAACTCCAATGTGAAGTCAGTGTCACTCACTATACGGATCAGAGACTTGGCGCGTCATAAAGAGTACCTCAAACAAAACAACAGACCTTCATCAACAGCTGTTTTCGCTCAATACTACTCAAGATCAGATGGCCAGAAAAGATCAACAACAGCGATCTGTGGCAATGAGTGAACCAACTAGGAACCGATTGTAAAACATATAAGCAGGAGGAAATGGAGGTGGATTGGAGGGCATACTCTGAGTAAAGCATCAAGTGAGTGATATCACTAGACAAGCCCTCGAGTGGAATCCGAAAAGGAAGGGGTGAGTTGGTCGTCAGTGTGAGGGTGATTTGGAGGAGGTCATGTGAAGAGGAGATGAAAGCATGTAGGCAGACGTGGAGCCAGGTGAAAACGTTAGCAGAGAACCGGACGCAATGGATGGAGACGTGGGTGGCTGAAGCCGTATGTTCCTCCAGGAATTAAAGGAAATAATAATAATAAGAAGAAATAAGTCACGACTTTGTAAACTTTTAAAACTATAAACTGTTTTATACTACCTGACTGCATTTTGTAATTGTAAGACAGTATATGCCCAATTCTGATTTAATCTCTCCTTATTATCTGTGCAGGAGGTGGAGGAGGATATCGATGAATCGCTAGAATAATTGTGAACATCACATGCTGCAATTTGTGAAATATCTATAGCTGTTTTAATTAACTTGTCTAAATCAGATCTGTGCAGCTGATACAATTGTTGAATATGATCATCACACTTGTCTGTTTGATATTCACACGAGATATTACTTCCACCAGAACACGGTTGATAACCAGGCATCCAGGTAGGCAGAACTAGCAAAAAAACAAACAACATATAGCAGATAGATAGATAAAAAGAGAGATAAGATAACAAACAGAAAAAAAAAGATGTGGACTGGTATGCTTAGCTAGAGGTGAGATCGCGATCAAACAGCTAGAGGCTAAAGAATGAGGTAGTGGTAAGGTATGCACTAAAACACTGCCTTCGTGATTATACTTACCAATTAACAAACAAACAAACAAACAAAGTTGTAAAATAAATTTAAGAGCAGAATTTGGATGATTTTATTATTCCCTAAAATTTTGAGTGGAATATAGACCTTCAACAGCATATCTCTACCTGTCTGTCTGTTTTCAACCTTGAACTCTGCACCAATGTGCAGCAGTTCGAGTCGCTACACTTCACTTAGAACACACAGCGAGGAAGAAAGTAAAAGGCAGTACAAAATAGCGATAGTAAACAGATATACGAGACAAAAAATAATAATAACGAAGGACAATATAGTTTCATTGGAAATTATAAGTTACAAGGGTTGGATGCATCTCCGTCAGACATTGAGAACGACTTTGAACCAAATCACCAATTGTTTCCAGCCATTGGTTTTTACCGTCACGAGGACCCCAAGCAGGAACTCTACACCTCCTTACGTAGGTGCATTCAATTAACTATTGTGGATTTCATTGACTGATTCAGCCATATTTTGGTTTGACCGCTGTTAGCTATTTTCCAGCTTGACCCTATGTCAGTTAACATTGGCCGTCAGTCGAGGAAGGCAATGGTTAGGCTAGGCATACGTAACACATGTCCTAACCATCTCAGTCGATGCAGCTTCACAGCCTCGTCGATTGATTCCCCCTCCCACCTACCTAGCACACGACCACCGATGTCTAACCTCAATGTTGCTCACCCTATTATACCACTTCACACGAGAGATAGCACGCAGGCACCTATGATCAAAGACAGCTAGTTGGCCTTTTCATGTCTTCCACTCTGAATGGCCATGTCTCGCTCACACCCATGAAGGAGGACGGAGCGGACTACTGAGCAGTACACTCCCCCTTTGGTCGATAGCCGGATATCATGTCTACGCCAGAGACGGCGTAAACTGGCAAATGCGAAACTAGCCCTCTTTATCCGTACTGAGATTTCACCAGAGATCAAACCGTTGGGGCTTCAGGGAACAAGATTAAGTAGAGATAGAGAGTATATATCTACTTCATCTTGTTCCCTGAAGTCCTCTTCACCTGGATTCACAATTGTCCATAGGCTTTCATCTCCACCTCACAAGATTGCCTAAATGTAACATTTAGATCCTCATGCCAACTAATCGTTTCCCATTCGCATTCCAGTCGAGAAGTCTGACTGGCACACGATGTCACTAAATTACTAAACGGTCCAATGAGCGTGTTTATGATCTATCTTCATTTCACCCGGTTTTTATTTTTGTCAGGCATTACGAGTTGTTGCTTAGTCTGAAGCGTGTTCAAAATGCTTTTGGTGACCTGTTGAACCATATAAAAGAACTGATTTGAAAAGTTGAGTTTTGTTCTTTATGTTGACTGCAGGAGATATCCAAACTGATTGATTTCAGATTCAGGAAGGTTTGTGTTTCCTACCCGATCCCCGACTCTCTGGCTTTGACATATTCATCTGGGGCATCACTCGTACCAAATTCCCATGAAACTTCATGAACTCTCTTACAAATTGCCGCGCCTGGGCAGCGATGATTCGAAACGTTCATGAATGCCGGCTCATCCTCCCGTAGGAGATAGCCGAAGTAAAGTAAAGTAAGTAAGTGTCAACTAGTCTATTGGCCTGTCCGAAGGCCAGAAAAATAGGAAGTTGGGCATAAAGCTGGAAGTCGCCACAGAAACTGCATCGACGAGAAAAAAAATTGATATATATATATATATATATATATATGGTGGTCTCTCTTTCTGTTGCTCTCTTAGTCTGTGACCATTTCACTTTGATGAACCTGTCTCCTTTAACAATATATATTCCCCTTATAGTATATATAATATGTGTGTTTGTTTGACAGTCTGTTATATTTTGCTATGTATATATGGATCGATATTCCATTATAATTAGCCAATCATGTTAAGACTGTCTATTGATTTGTTCACTCACTTGTTCGGACATTCATATATATTTTTGCTCTCACACTCTTGTGTGATATATTTGATTCTCCTTGTGTTTGAAAAATAGAAGTATCATCGCAAACCTAGTGGTCTTCTGATTTCCGTCTTTCTTGCGTCAGGACTATTAAATTCTCGACCAGTACATAACAATAATTTGGCGACGAGTACATAACAAAAAAAAACCTATTCTTCCGTAGAAGAGTAGAGACGATGTTGTAAGGGTTGACGAAAGCCTTGGGCAGTGTAGTAGAATATAATTCCTTATAAATTAGGTTATTTGATATAAGCAACACAGTGTTGATACACAGAGTTAATAGTTAGATAATGTTTCCGATATAATTTATCACTGCTCACAATTACATTGATATGATTATTCATCACTTAAAGTTAAAGTGAGGCATTTGGATAGTCAAATAGAAAAGGATGGGAAAAAAGCTTAGTTTATACAACAACATTTCAGTGTTGGTTTGCACGGATTTGAGTGATTTCACGATTTCATCATGAGCTGACACCAGTTAGAGAACCATCAGAAAACCTGGTAGTACCAGAAAGCTGCTTCATCCTAGTTTGGGACTCTTCAGCAGTACGCACCCACTGACAGGGTTCGAACCCAGCAATTTCTGGTTACAAGATTGAAGGTGAGGCAGTAAATCATCGCAGACACTGAGAAGTAGTTGCAATGAACCACACCTATTATGTGAAGGCTGATATCTGTGGGTGAAGCAGGGGTTGGAAATCAAGTTATGAGCAGCCCTCCCCCCATCCAGAAATTAATGAAAATAAAACTCCAATGGCAGAAGTTAGAATTCATCGACTGGCCATTGAATTAGGTGCCAGTGGCTTAATGTTTCATGAGGTCGCTCGCCTTGCAACCAGAAGGTCGTGGTGGTTTCGAACCCCAGAGGGGTGGGTGCGTACTGATGGAGAGACAGTCACAAACTAGGCTGACGAAACAGCTGTCCAGTACTCCCTGCAGGTTTTCCAATCGTTCTCTGTAACTGGTGTCAGCTCATGATGAAATCCTTCAACCAATCAAACACAAAATCCCTACAAAAAAATCAATACTTGATAATCAGAAATTAAATAATTTAAAATAAAAAGAAGTAAACATTCAAATGACACCCACTTGATTGACATTCAACATATTGAAGTAATTTTACACGTATAGGAGTATACAATTTCGGGATAATATTTGTATGCAATTCATTCTGTAGACGTTCAATTCGTTCAATACGATCACACATTTGTTTAGAATGGTGACGCAGTGAATCTGTTATTTCCTAAAAAAAAGAAAACGTTTAATGAAAAAAATATCCAAAATGAACTAGAGAATGATAAGAACGAGAATAAAAATGTGGTGATAGCAGGCTGCTAACGAATTGGTAGACATTAATTTACGTCAATGTCTATGTCGCTAATATTGGCCGTGAGAAAATATGTCTGTCTGTCTGGATTCAACATAGAACTTGGCACCGAAGTGCAGCAGTTCGAGTTGCCACGTTCCAAATAGCACACAGAGGTAGACAAGAAGATGAGTGAAGAGAATCAATAGAGTTTGACAAATATAAGAGTGAAACAGAATGGGTAATGGTAGAAAGGAATATGAAAGATTACAGAGACTGAATACATCTGCGCGCCATTGACAACGATTTTGAGCCATGTCACCTATTGTCTCCAGCCATTGATTCCTAGAGTCCCGAGGGCCCCAACCCGGGAGTCTGCATCTCCCTACCTGACTCAGTTTAACTGTCAAGGATTTCATGGATTGATGCCATGTTTTTGTTTGGCCACCACTGGCTCTTTTCCAACCTGAACCTATATCAGCTAACAATGCCCGTCGGGGGAGGCGGTGGTTAGGCATGCGCACCACGTGACCTAGCCATCTTAGTCTATGTAACTTTATAACCTCGTCGATTGATTTTCCCTCTTTGCCCAACACTCTACGCCTAACGTCAACATTACTTATCTTGTGAAACCACCTAACGTGAGACAGAGATCGCAGACATCTATGATCGAAAGCAGTCAACCTTTTCATGTCTTCAACGCGTATTGGCCATGTTTCAGAGCCATAGAGAAGGACGGAGCGAACTGATGAGCAGTACACACGTCCCTTGGTTGATAACCGGATGTCACGCCTACGCCAGAGATGGTGTAAGTCAGCGAAAGCAGCTCGAGCTTTTCGGATCCGTGCTGAGATTTCATCGCCAATCAGTCCGTTGGTGCTAATACAACTTCCCAAGTAGGTGAAGTGGTCAACATGTTCTATCACTTCACTCCCTATCACTAAGTTAGGGGTTGACGTCGTCCAGTCCTGTAGCAGCATCTTACATTTTGCAGGGGCGAATCGCATGCCAAACATACGAAGATTGCTGCTCAAGGTGTTCAGAAGACTCTGCATTTTGTCAGCATCCTCCCCTAACAGGACTATGTCATCTGCATATTCTAAGTCCATAAGATTATTCCCTGGTAACAAGTCGATTCCTAAGTCACTACGTTCAGTTAAGGATACTTCCATTAGCATATCTATGATGAAGTTAAACAGAAATGGGGAAAGTGGACATCCCTGTCGGACACCACTGGTTGTTACCAATTCAGATGACAATTCCCCATAAGCCCTTACACGACTACGTGAGTTTGAATAGAGTGCCTTGATTAGTGCAATGTACTTTCTTGGCACTCCCTTCACAGTCAGACATTGCCATAGTACCTTTCGATCCACGGAGTCGAAGGCCGCCTTCAAGTCAAGAAATATGACAATTGTTGGACGCCGAAAAGTGTGTCTATGTTCTAGAATCTGTCGAAGAGTGAAGATATGATCTATGCACCCTCTACCTGGTCTAAAGCCTGCTTGATTTTCCCTTGTCTGTTCCTCCCGAGTTCTGCTTAGTCTATGCATGATTACTGAGCCTAGGATTTTAGAGACTATGTTCGTTAGGCTGATCCCCCTATGATTATCACACGAGGACTTGTTTCCCTTCTTGAATATCGGTATAATAAGTGACTTACCCCAGTCTGATGGTACTGTCTCTGATTCCCAGACTTTGCCTAGTACCTCAGTTAATCTACAAACTAGTATGTCACCCCCATATTTAAACACCTCCGGAATAATTCCGTCGGGTCCTGCCGCTTTGCCTCGTTTCAAATTACTGATAGCTTTTGTAACCTCACCTACAGACGGCGGACCAGTGTCTATATCCCATTCGGGTACGTGGTGGATGGCGGGGAGGTTCAGTGTGGCTGTAGGCAAGTTAAATTGTTCCTCAAAGTGTTCTTTCCAGCGTTCAAGGCGTCTATCCTGAGAGCTAATTAAGGAGCCATTTTTCTCAGAAATAGTCTCACTTATGAATTGCCTTCTCCGCCCGATTCTGTGATGAGTCTAAAGAGTTGCCTAGTGTTGCCTATCGCCAATGCTTTTTCCATCTCTTTCGCCTTTGTCACCCACCACTGTTCACGGTCCTTGTGAGAAAATATGAACAAGACTGATTCAACAACCAATCACAGCAGACTTAACGTGGGCAAATACGATTCGCAGATATATGGCTTAACTTTCTGAGAAACTAGTCACAGGCAGTACAGAGTAACCTTGGGCAAGAAACAACCAATCAGAAGGCTGTGTATGTCTGCTTGAATAAGCTATATTAATGTACATGAAATATATATATATATATATATATATATATATATGTATATATATATACGTGATGATTTCCTTAAAAACGATCTGTTGCCTGGCGTTTGTCTTCTGTTGTTACAAAAATAGTGCATCATCCCCTTTTTCACGAATCGTGTGATATATATTGTGTGGCCAATTCACCATGTTTTAATATAGCGAAAATATTCATTCAGACATCTATAAAACACAAAATAATTGAGCAAAGAATATCCACCTTTCGATAATTTCCTTCTCCTCTGGTTTATGCAACTAACTGGCTTCACAGGAGCCAACTTGCTCTTTGTCAGATCGCTAACCAATCAGCATAGTTGTTACCCAGTCAATAAGAACAACAAACCATTTCCACGGCTGTGTGAGTCGACTATATTGTGTGGTAAAGAAAATATAATAAATATGATGTGTTGTTTGTCTGCTAATAAATATACACTGAGGTTACAGCCTTTGTGCATTGAAGTTTCTGTAGCGTTTTGGTTAAGTTTTAGGGGTGAAGTTGCTAGCACCACGCACAAACCCTCCCTATTTATCCGGGCTTGGGACCGGCTAGAAAACTAGCGAGCTAGTATTCTAGGCGAGATCGAAGAAGCAGCAAAGACAGGACTCCAGGTGAACATAGACAAGACGGAGGTTATGAAAATAACCAACCAACCAACAACAACAATAACAGCAGTAACATCCAGCGCTAATCACCATCAACGGGAGGGATTTCAAAGAGGTTACTTCATTCACTTACCCAGGGAGGAAGCATTGTCTCAACTGCAGGCAGTCAGAACGGAAGAGGATGTCAAATCAAGCGAGAATCGGGAAGGCGAGAAACACATTCCCTCATCAACCTGAAACCAATCTGGAAATCTTCGTCACTCAACTCGGCATCAACAACAAAATTCGGCAGGATTTTCAATACAAACAACGTCAAGTCAGTCAGTTCTTCTATACGGATCAGAAACTTGGCAAGCGGGTCACAAAGAATATTTCCAACAAGCTATTGCAGACATTTATCAACAACTGTCTTCGCTGGTTCTATACTGAAGATCAGATGGCCGGGATGGAAGGGATCACCAACAAGAAACTATGGCTGGGAACAAACAAGACAAGAACCAATCGCCAACCAAAAAATATGCATGAGAAAGTGGAGATGGATTGGACACTCGTGGCTGAGGAGGCCACTGGGTGACATCGCGCGCGTGTCAGGTCATTGCTCGAGTGGAACTAGGCCAAAAGGGAAGCGGCGATTGGGTCGTCAGTGCAAGGGTGACATGGAAGAGATAGTGTGAAGAGGAAGGAGTTGAAACAGAATGGACTGACTAACATGGATGCAGGCGAAAAGTACAGAAGAAGACAGAATTGACAAGTGGAGACCTGCAGTTGAAGCCCTATGTTCCACCAGAAACCCAAGGGACAAGAAAATAAATAAAAAAAGCTTACAGTCACCGGTTCAGCGGTAGCAGGCTCGCCAAACATGCACGTGGTCCGGGGATTGATTCTTGCCCGACACACTCCTACACCTCGCTGAGCTGATAGTAAAATGCTGGTAAAGAGGGAAAGTTTGACGTGAGACTTTCAACTTCACCCCATTAAAAAAGAAAACAACAGCTAACCAAACTACAAAGCTAAAGTTTGAAGATTTATGTTCCACTCGGAATATATTTGCGTGACTCAGTGAAGTGGAAGGTACAACACACGAATAGGCGTATTAGCGTAGCAGTCGAGTTCATTACCGTTGTAAAGACGACTAGCGGTGCAGATATAACGGAGTGAGTTCGGAATCCAAGAGTGATGTGGATAGAACATCATCTGAAAAGAAAATGAAAACTCCTGGGCTGGAACCTAATAAAACGGATATGTATGGTTAAAGCCTTGTCTTTTACTCACAACACACAATGGACGAACACCAACACCACCACCAACAACAACAATAATAACAATCGTAATAGCTCATTGAGTTATTGTGACATGCACAAGCCGACTCACCTTCATGTATTTTGAAAATTGATCGATTGACGAAGGCAGTGTCATTAAAGAAGACGTGGAGAATAATACTTCAAATGATGAACGTGATAATTCAACACGATGTTCACAAGACTCCTCGTTCTTTAAGCGTATCAGACTTGATTCTGGAGAAACTATAAGATGAATAAAGAATAATTTAAGGTAGTAAAAGCACTTATATATACACAGAAAACAAAAAAGGTGACTGAAAAAAAAATGATGATTTGAGGTTAAAGAAAACAAAAAAGGGGGCCATTGAATCTATAGCCAAAGTGGTTCAATAGTGAGCGAGCCTGCTGTCGTAACCTGAGTTCTCAGGTTCCTAGACAGAAGGTTATGCGGGTACAGCGCTAAAGACTCTCAAGGCAATAGGAACTAGCTGTCCAGTGCTCCTAAGTTATCACTGACATCTCTCAACTGATGGAACTGACCTTGGCGGGCTTTTCTATTACTACGCTATATTTGCTCAGTTACATAAAACTCTCATTTCTATGTAATTTCTTGCCAAGAAGTTGTGGATTTTATTGAAATTATTTGACTTTCGAACACTGAATCTTTGGATATAATCTTGTTGACCGATAATACCTATAACTATCTGTTCAGCATATTGTGACTGTTTAACTGTGTGGACAGGGAACGTCCGCACTATGTACGAGACTGGTATAGCTGCCTAGATTGCGAACGAGATGAAAAGATACGGAATTCAAGTATTGGGAATATGCGAAAGCAGATGGAATGGAAGTGGACTCACCAAATTGTCAACGGGATAGTCGATGATCTACTCCAGTCACCCAGAAGACAACCACATAAACATCGAGTGTGTGACTACCATCATGTCACCAACGACAACGAAAGCTCTGATGCAATGGGAAGCGATTTCACCCAGGATAATGATCGCCATATCCAACTCCAAAGGAAGGAAAGTGTCAGTTATACAATGCTATGCACCCACAAACGATGCAGACATCGAAGAGAAAGAAGAGTTCTACAGGCAACAATGGACAATACTCCAGCTGGTGATATTAAAATACTGATAGAAGATATGAACGCCAAACTGGGACCAGACAACACAGGAAGGGAACTCATCATGGGTAGAGAAGCTCTCAGAGAAGTGAATGAAAATGGAGAACTCTTCTCCGACTTCTGCGCCTTCAACGAACTAGTGATTGGTATCAGCGTATACAAACACAAAGATATCCACAAGGCTACATGGATGTCACCAGATGGGCAAACAAAAACGCAAATTGACTTCATCTCAATGCAGCTCAAGGAAGTGGAGGCGCAGCCTACTGGACACAAAAGTAAGAAGAGGAGCAGACGTTGGCTCAGACCACTATCTCATACAAGGGACAATCCAAATCAAATTAAAAGCTTTCAGGGAATCAGGAGCTGCAGAAAGACCACAAGCCAAGTACAACACTCAAAAACTGCAGGAGCAAGATACAAAGGACATCTTCATTGCAAGCGTAGAGGAAAAAGCCGAGACACAAATCAACACTAGTGAAGAGGTCGGCGTCGAGTAGCACTGGGACAACTTGAAAACGATGGGGAGTCAAACCTGCATGGAAGTTCTAGGCAGAAAGAAGAGACAGGACAATCAGTGGCTCACTACGGACACTTGGGAACTAATAGAGGAGAAAAGGATGGTGAAACAAAAGATTATCCAGTGCACCAACGAGCAACCAAAACAGGAGTTGAATGCGAGCTACAATACACTGAACAAAAGAGTGAAGAAGAGTGCCAGGGAAGACAAAAGAAAATATTATGAAGCTATGGCAAGTGAAATAGAACAAGCTGCAGACAAAGCAGACCTCGCCACATTCAACCAGGTTTTTATCGGGGAAAAGTTCAACATAAATTAATCCAGTGAAGGATGACAATGGAAAGTCAATCACCAAAGAGGTGGAGCAAAGTAAACACTGGGCTGAACACTTCAAAAGAATAATAAATCGACCGCCACCTACAACATGCCCAATAATGCCAACAGTGGGAGCAGAACTACCAGTGGACATCAACCCTCCGACGAGAAGAGAAATCCTGAAACCAATCAAGATGCTAAAAGCTGAAAAAGCAACTGGATCAGATGGAATCCCAGCAGAGGCATTGAAATTGGACCTCGAGACATCAGCGGACTTGATGATACCACTACTAAAGAAGATGTAGAAAGAGGGCGAGGTACCTGTGGATTGGAAGAAAAACTGCCAAAGAAAAGAAACTTAGGTCAATGCAAGAACTGGCGCGGAATTATGCTCCTGTCCATCCCAAGCAAAATACTAAGCCACATCATCCCGGAGAAAATCAAACAAGCCCTGAATGAAAAACTTCGACCGGAACAGGACGGATTCAGGTGAAACAAGTCATGCATAGATCAGATCGGAAATGAACAGAGCTTGGAATGGCAGTCAGCTCTCCACCTAATTCAACTTCATTGACTTTGAAAAGACTTGAACAGTGCAGCGTCGATAGAGAGGTGATTTGGAAACTACTTCGCTACTACAAAGGGGTGCCACCAACAGTTATACATCTCATCCAACAGTTGTACGACAACGATGCATACCAAGTAGTCCACAACGGAAAACTTACGGAATCCTTCGAAGAAGTGGAGACGAGAGTAAGACAAGGCCGGCTGACTGCCTACTATCTCCAATAATTTCGCTGATTTCGGGAGACTTGATAATGCGACAGAAAGATAGCGAGCAGGACAGTGCGGAAACAGGCATAAAATAGACAAACACAAAAAACTTGGAGGAATTTGGATTTCGCCGATGATATATTTCTTATTTCCCACAAACTGGAAGATATGCAAGTGAAAAGCAACAAATTGGCACAAGAAGCATCAAAGATAGGAAGGACTTCAGGTGAACATAGAAAAACAGAGGTGGGTGATGAAGATTCTTGGCCAACATCGACGGCAACAGCAACAACAATAGACAACAATCAGCATAAACAGGAGAAATGTGAAAGAAGCAACCTTCTTCACCTACCTACCGACTTAGGAAGCATCGTTTCAACAAATACCAAATCGCTCAGAAAAGACAACTAACCTGTCGATAGACCAGTTAGATCACCATCTTCATGTTTTTCCACATTCATATTCGATTTTGGCATATACTGATATGTAATCCATAGAGAGTGGCTTGCATGCATTAATGCATCTAACGGATTCCAGTTGACATGAAGCAAAAGGACATCAATCTATAGATTGATTAATAAAACAGATTGGAAATAAACGAAATGCTATGAAACTAAACAGGTAATTACTAAAAAAGTATTAATAATGATAATTAGGACTAAACTCATTTTTGAGATAGGACGTTGCACTACTTATAAATCTATATAAGTAGTAGGTTTATGGAGAAGTAGTAATGGTAGGACAATTTGAGACATTCATAGGTTGACAGACTGTTTATTACTGATAGAATGGATAGTAATTCAAGCTGAAATTAGGAGGATTCCAACAATGAGCTTCTAAATTAGTCCAATCTAATCCCTACCATACAGCTGAGCAACGATACCCAAATGCTTTCTAACCAGGTGTCATCATTTCACAGCAATCACCACGAGCCAAACCGCCTGTTTTTATCAGCACAAAACCAGGATTCCAGCAAGATCTCTTGTCCAATTCTACACAAAGTAATTTAAGAGGAAAAGGATCTGGGTTAAAAAGTGAACATAAATATAATTTTTAAGTGATAGTTTGTAGGGATTTGGTTGGTTTCAAAAGTGAGAACAATCGAAAATCACTGGGGAGTTACTGGGTATTTGTTCCTTCCTAGTTCGGGAACTAAATCTTTAGTTAGTAAGCACAAATGACCTCATTCGTTAAGGATCTAATCCATCACCTTCAGGTTTCGAGGCGAGGTCGTCAATGATTCAGTCACTGGGACAGCATTTAAAGACTGGTGTCTATGAATTGTAACTCCTAGTTAGGGGATTTCATCATGAGCTGACATCAGTTAGAAAACCATTGGAAAACCTGTCACGGAGTACTGGGACTGAAGATCTGTTACGTCCACCTAGTTTGGGACTCTTCGGCAGTAAGCACCCACCGCCAGGGTTCGAACCCAGGAACTCCTGATTACAAGGAGAGCTAGCTCGTAGACTATTAAGCCACTGGGACCCGATCCAATGGCCAGCCCATAAATTGGCAGAAGTTAGAATCCGTGTGATGGCAATTGGATTGAGTCCCAACGGCTTAATAGTCTACGAGTTAGCTCTCCTTGTAACCAAACGTTCCTGGTTTCAAACCCTTGTGGTGGGTGCGTAATGCTGAAGAGACAGTCCCAAACTATGACGAAAAAGAGGTCCAGGCAGGTATTCCAATGGTTCTCTAACTGATGTCAGCTCATGATAAAATCATCCAATCTAACCAATCAGACGAAATCCTGAGAAAACCAATACTTGAAAATTCTATCTTCTGTCAACCCGCGATTTTTTCGAGCCATCATTAGCCAATGTCGTCGATAAGTTATTTGTCCTGACCCGGTGGAGCCCGATGGTCACACTACCACTACTACTAATACTACTGCTGTGAGGTATAATCGACCTTCAACAACCATGTTGGAATGAGAAAAAGTTAATACAACGGTATGTACGTCAACAGGACTGAGACTGTTTTCACATAGAATATTAATTTACACGAAAATTCTTGAAACAAGACAGAGTCCAAAATTCAGAATGGAATCAAAGTTTAACTATAGAAAGAGTATAACACTAATTCAGGTTACTTAACAAAAAAAACATTTTAAGATTAAAAAATAGGTAATTTTCTACACAGAACGGAACGCCATGTGCTACTGATTAGATTTGTGAGTAGTATATAGACGCGAATGTAAATATGTATATCATCTACAAGAATATCAAATCACGAAGAGATGGAATCAATGAACAATGCTTGAGAAATAACATGGAAAACACGATGGGACGACAAAAAAGAAGAAGAAGAACACGGAAGACAGGGCATAGCAATACCGAAGACATATACATACTGTGATTCTACTCTCTCTCTCTCTCTCTCTCTCTCTATATATATATATATATATATATATATATATATATATATATATATATATATATATATATATATAGCCTATATGTCTTTGTATCGACTTGCGAATGAATAAGCGAATCCGTTGTCAGATTCTCTCGACTTCAACTATTACATCAGGAGAATACACGACGGTAATAATCTGGTTACTGCCGGATTTATCTATTGATTATTTTGAACATTTTCAAATTGTTAATGTGTGCGAAACTTGGGCACTGTGGTAGTAAGGAATTCCATATTAGTTTGTTTATTAGATATTCTATCACACGATATGCATGTCAAATATACACGTCGACAACACCAACAATAAGGAATCTAAATCATCAAAAAAATTCCATACAAGGAAGGAACCTCGGAAACCTCACAACGCAGAATTCTTAACAAGGCAGGAATAAAAGTGGTCGGCATTCAAACCACACACAAAAACTAAATTAGAAACATGCCTTGTCGGTTAAAGGATCAATCCTGTGTAGTTTTTAAAACGAAACAATTTAGTTTATTTAATACCCTGTCTGCAATGATTGTCAGGTCAAACACATAGGTCAAACTAGTAGAACAGGATGAGTCAGTCAGACTAGCTGAACATAAAAACCTACCAGCAAAATCTAGATTGGTTAACCCGAATTAGATAAGAAATCTAGAGAATAGTTAAGCTATACCACTCGCTACATAAAATTACACACAACCATACAATAGGCTGGATGGTATAGGATTACAGTTTCAAAATCTAATACAACTAACATGGTGGAGAGAGGGATTGATAACAGAAGCTTTGTTTATCGAATCAACTGAGAGTGATTACGTGTAATAGGAATGATTCAACACCTGTCTACCCAGATATCTGGGAAATTCTACTACCCCAACGACGACGAATAGAAGAGGACAAAGAAAACTATAAAACTGCAGTTTCGAAGTCGCGTGTGATTATAATTGATGAAATGATGATTATGAACAATGAATAAATTGTGTTCGAAACTTTGTCATCCGGTAAATAATACTGTTTCACTGACTGTGTGATACATCTAATAAACAAATTAATATGGAATCTTCAAAATATCACCAATACACTCCAGTAGCCAACAAAGATGTGATATACAAACGCGCAGATTAGTTCCCTTGTAACGACAAAAGGCAAAAGTCAGGCAACAGATCGTTTATTAAGGAAATCAACACGTATTTGTAAATTTTTTTTCTCTCCTTCACATTCCCCAGTGGAACACAGCGGGCTTCAAGCTAGTGGCTTAAAGTTTCTGTAGCAGTGTTTATTTTACAGGATGGGATTGCTAGCCTCATGCCCAACCTTTCCTCTTTACCAGAATTACTTCTGGCTTAGCGAGGTAAGGAGGAGTGTGTCGGCCGGGGATCGAACCCCGGACCATGAGCATGGTAGGCGAGCGTCCTAACCACATTATCAGGGCGAGGCGCATGCATATAGCACCCAGCCTTCTTCAAACCTTGCACACAACCATTAGGTGGCGTACTATCCCATCGCCCTTGACAGATCTGGCAACAAAAGTCACGAGAACACCATCAGAGCGTATGACAGGCTAGGTACCCCTTTTGTGTATATATTTCATGTACATTATTATAGCTTATTCAAGCAGACAAACTTAGTCTTCTGATTGGTTGTCTCTTACAGAAAGTTGACCTTGCATCTCTTTGTGACTGTTTCTTGACTGTCAGGTCATCTATATGTTAACTTTATCTGCCTACGCCAAGTCTGCTGTGATTGGTTGTTGAATCAGTCTTGTCCATATTTTCTCACCACTAATATTTGCGATATACCCATTGACGTAAAATGCTGTCTACCATTTTTGGCTAGCCTGCTCTCACCATACCCTGTGATCCCTTCAGTATAAAACTCAACAACACGCAACAATTTTTTTGGTTTTAATTCAGTCTTGATTGATTGGACTGAAAGGTTGTCTGTGCTGACATGTCGGCAGTTAGTGTGAAGGCCCCAAAAATGTCTAAGGATTAACTTGAAGTGAATGGTAACTAGCAGTGGAATCCAGTATGTACATTTCGTCCTATATGGGACTCGACAACTGGATGTACCTTGTAAATAATAACTGATGCTTGTGACGCAAGAAAGAAGTGGCTCTCGTGATCCAAGTGGTATAGTAGTGAATAACGCCTTGAAGTTAGGAAAGACGGGTACTCGGGTTTGAGTCTCAGTAGGAACATCACAATCACTCACTTACTAGGGGGGGGAATGGACTACACTGACTCCTAGCCTAGAAACAGGGCTTTACTTATTTAGGAAGTTGCATCAGCCAATGCCAGTGGGTTGATCACTGACGAAATCTCAGTACAGATACAGAAGGCTAGTTGCGTATATGCCAGTTTACGCCGTCTCTAGCTTAATAGACGTGATATCCGGCTGGTTGTAGACTATAGGGCGAGTGTACTCCTCAGTAGTCCCCTCCGTCCTCCTTCACGGCTTTGAGCTAGACCTGGTCATTGAGAGTGGAACACATGAAAAGCCCGGTTGGCTGTCTTTGATCGTAGGTGACTGCGTCCTATCTTCGGTATCAGGCAGTGGTATAATAGAGTGAGCAATATTGAGCTTTGGTGTGAGTCAAGTGCTAAGTAAGGAGGGCGGGAAGATTAATCGACGAGGTGGTTATGAAGCTACATTGACTGAGATGGTTAGGACATGTGTTACGCATGTATGCCTAGCCATCGCCTTCCTCGACTGACGGGCAATGTTAGCTGACATAGGGTCAGGTTGGAAAAGAGCTAGTGGTGGTGAAACCAAAACATTGCTTCTCAGTCAATGAAACCCACAAAAGTTAGTTCAAGCCAGTGATATAGGGAGAAGGAGACTTCCTGATTGGTTGGGGTCCTCGGGACGTAAACAGCAATCAAGGCTGGAGACAATCGGTGATATGGCTCAAAGTGATCGTTCTCAATGACAGTGGAAAGGCATCCCCTCCTTGTAACTTATCCAATACAACTATATTGTTTTTCGATATAACTATTCTTTTTGCCTCATATCTCTGTTTACAGTCACCGTTTTGCATATTTTTTTTACTTTCTTCCCTTGCTTTTTGTTCTAAGTGAAGTGTAGCGACTCGAACTGCTGCACATCAGTTCAAAGTTTTATGTTGAAACCAGTCAGCTGGCGAGTCCCGAATAAGACGAA